CATTATGCTGAGTGAAATATCTCAGTCACAAAAGGGCAAATATTATACGGTGCCACTGTTGTAGAATGAGGCTGACGTTGGGGTGGGGATAGGACTGAGAAAAACTGGAAAGAATATTTTTCTCATTGTAACATGTCTTTTGGTTTCTTGACTGCTGCTACCATGAGTGTTCATCATAGATCCAAATAAAATTAAATACTTGAAAATTTTAATTTTTTGTCCATCTCTCATGATGTTTCCTAATAGTCCAGTGGTGAGTATTTTTGGTTGTTCTTTGGGTTTTTGATGTTCTGTTTGTTTGGGATTTGTTTTGTTTTTTTAATGTTGACCATTAATTTGTATTGAAGGCTGTAGCCCTTAGTAAATGTTTGAAGTCTTCTTCACTTTCTTGAACCATTGAATAAAGAGAGCAACATAACAAAGAACAATAAACAGTGCAGGGTGCTCATCTTGAACAATATTCTTGTAGTGTGTTAACCCAGAATAGTAGTGCAATGACAGAGGCAGGAGTTTCCACACAGCTGAAAAGTTCTGATCTTTTCTTCTGGGAGAAGTAATAAAAAAGCAACAATTTGGATCATTTACAAGCTTATATTAGGAAAATCTGCTATCAGAACATCTACAAAGAATCTATATATAATAAAGCAATAAATTTAAAGACTAAGGCGACTCTGACTGAGTCATGAGATTTTCAACGATTCCTCTTCATCTGAAGTGTTGTTTATATGAACAGTCAAGTTGGAACCAACCCATAGTTGGCCCTCCAGTAGGTTTTCAGAGGCAGTTAATTGCACTGAATCCATTGCCCATTCTTCTGTCGAACAACTGGTGGTCTCTGAGTGCCTTCAGGATTGCACTGTAGCTTCTTGCCACTAGGCCACCCAGCTGAAAATTTGAGTGTTGAATGAAGAAGACCAAGAAAGAACTGACACTTTCAAATTGTAATGTTGGCCAGAGTATTGAATAAACCATAAACTGCCAAAATAACAAACATATCTGTCTTGAAGGAAATAGGTACAGGGTTCTCAACAGAGGCAAGGATGGTGATATTTTATTTCAAAAATGTTGAGGATGTTATCAGGAGGGGCTAGTTCCTGTAAAAAGACATTGTGCTCTGAGAAAGGTCGGGAATGGAAGAGAGAATGGTCCTCAAAATGATGAATTACCTTGGTGACTATAATTATGGGCTTGAGCATGGCAGAAATCATTAGGACATCACAGAATAAAGTAAGGTTCTGGTACGTTGTTCATAGGGTCTTTATGATTCAAAGACACCTGACAACAACAGTGTCATAGGGAGGAGCCCTGATGGTAACGTGTACTATAATTAGCCCTGCATTGTGTTTGGGCCTGAACGAAAAGTTTGGCAATTCCAATTTATCATGGCATTCACAATTTTCAATTCTAATTCACAGGTGTAAGAGGAAAAGTCCTCTGCATATAAATATTTACAGCTTCTGAAACCTGATGGAATGTCACTATAAGTCAGAACAAAATTAACTACAGTGAATTTTACTTTGGTTGCTAAAATATGAGTTATATTATGCCAGACATACTTTTCATAAGAAAAAGGGCTCAAATGCATTTTCAGAGTGAGCTGCATTACAAGCTAGACACCCAGATTAATGTCAATGTAAGAATAACAGTGAATCCGTTTCACACTGAACAGGTTTGTCAAGCAGCTTGATGGCCTTTCTAAGAGAAAGCCAGAGCCATCCTCATTACAATTGTACCGCAGCCCTCTTCCTACATAAAGAATTTATCACCTTGTTCAAACTTGTTTCTTGCTGCCCTTCGTAGAAGCTTGAGAAGAGAAAATCATGCAGCCCAAGAGCAGGTTCAAAGCCATCCGGAGGGTTTACAAATTCAGAAAATAAAGCATAATTCTGCAACAGTGTTTCTCCTTACATACCCAAAAAGCACCAGCAGGAGGGCTGTGGCTGCCAAGTTCTCCCGGAAAGTAAAGGCTGATAACTGGAAGGCAACAATAACAGCAAAACACAGGCTCAGGGAAACCAAATAAAAGATCTAAAAAGAGGAAAGAAAAATAGGATACTTGTTAGAGTGGATGACCTTATTATACCGTCATCTGCTTATTCCAAAGTTTTTCCTTTAAATTTCTACTTGAATTCTTTTCCTTCATAATTATTTTGCAGATTATACATTTTTCTGCAGTGGAATTTGCCCTGAGCTTAACCTATAGCCATATTATTTTTATTTAATTAATTTCAAACAATCATTCATCTGCATTATGTTTTCTAATAGCCATCTTCTTAGGGAAGAATCTGTATGACAAGAGTCTGCTTCTGCCATTGGGTAGATTCCAACTCCCAGGTTGATACAGAGTAGAAATGAGCTGTGTAGGATATTCTTGGCTGTAATCTTTATGGGGACAGATTGTCTTGACTTTCTTAAAGGCACTGTTTCTGTGTGGTTCCAGCTACCAACTTTTATATGTAAAGGGCAAGTTTAAATTGTTTGTATCACCTAGCAACCTTACATGAATGCAGATATCTACAGTGAAAGATATCCAGACACCTACATACTCAGAAGAAGAAGAGGGCTTACCCTGTCAATAATTCCTACTCTTTCACTTTCTGCATTTTTGTCCAATCCCGCCTCGAGTTTCCCAGTCAAGAAGAACCATACTTCCCTTAGGTGGCTGTAGCACACCAATATTGCTCTTCTACTCTTGCTGCCTCTTCTTGCATGTATTGATGCAGAGTGTCTTTCATGAAGTTAACTGATTATTATTTTTTGATATATCAGCTTAATGTCATCTCCTTGGAGCCTTCCCAAGATATATGATTTAAGTTACCATCCATCATATTATTTATTCAAATTCCTAATAAAGGAAGCTCTGGTGACCTAGTGGCAAGAAACAACATTGTAATCCCAAAGTTCAAATTTCAGATCTCTGCAGGAGAAGGATGGGCACACTCCTCCAGTGCAATTAACTGTCTCTGAAAACCTGCTGGAAGATCAGCTATGGATAGGCTCTGACTCAATGGTACACAACAACAACAACAATAACAATCACTAACAAATTCTATCTTGTGTGCGTAATTTGTCTTCACTTCTTGCCTGTTCTTTTCATAACATAAATTCCATGCATGAAGAGACACTTTCCAATGGCAAACCAATAAAGCCAAGGTAATTGCCATTGAGTTTAGTTTCTTTCTTACTCATAAAACTACTGTGGGACAAAGCAGAAGTGTCTATAGGGCTTCCAAGGCTGTAAATATTTCTAAAAACAGTTTTATCTTTCTCCCTCAGGCAGACTGATGGGTTTGAACCACCTGCCTTTAGGTTTGTTGCTGTTGATTGCCATCAAGTCGAGGTCAACTCATAGCGACTCTATGAACAAAAGACCTAATGCCTTTCCATAGCTGTTGTTGTTTCTCCAAGTTCCTAGAGTTTCCAGAGGCATGTGGTTTAGGAAATTGATGCACTCCTGCTTCTCAACCTGTTTTACAAGTGGGAGCTCCACCAAACACTGTCCACAATAGAAACCATTGTGGTATTTTATATCCCCATGGCACAAGGTTCAGCATCATATTTAACCCAGGTTATTTCATATTGCTATATGATATATATATCCTGATGTGCAAAATGGAAGAATGTTCCTCCAGATATAACAGCACTAGTCTAAATTAGCAATGGTTAAATGTTGTCGAGTTGAATAACTCAGAGTAAGCTTTGCACAAAAGACCTATGATTAACATCATTTCTGTAAATTTATAAGAGTTTGTAGATTTCCAGAGGCACCTAGTTTAGGAAGTGGATGCTACTCCTGCAACCATTATACATAATGGGTGACTATTATGGTATTTGACACGACTATGGGACAGTGTTCAGCTTCACACATCCAATTTGTTCAGTATAGCAAATAGACAAATGATTGCTGGCCTCCACCCTTATCAATGGTCTAAGGTTCAAGGGCCACCCACTTTTGAGGGGGGATAAAGAACAGTAACACACAATAATAAGGACCCCAGAAACTTCCCTTGCCATCAAGATGAAACCACCATCGAGATGACCACCAGCCAGCCAGGCTGCTTTTTGGTTAGTGGCCAATTATGCCACCAGAGAACCTTTATCCAATAACAAGCTTCAGAAATAATTGTTCAATGAGTGATTGAATATAATAATCAGTGTAAATTTGGCAAAGCAGGAGTGTATCCACTTTAAAAAAATGCCTCTGGAAACCCTGTTTACTTGGAGGAAAGATGAAAGTTTTGAGTTCAAGGTTTTGTTCATAGGGTCACTATGGGTCATCTACAACTCTACAGCACTTAACAACAACAGCATAAATTGGAAAAAGGTGGAACTATCAAACAAAAATGAAATTATTTTTATTTTTAGACTACGTATCATTAAGTAAGATGTAGGAGGGAGAAAATAATAATTAAAAAGTTGTAAAACAGAGCACCAGAACACTCTGGGGTTTAGAGACTTTGGATATCCTCTGATATCCTAGAAATATGGTCAATCATCAATCATAAGAGCCCATTCTTGGAGTGTGGCCTCTTCTTTTTGCTGGGAAGATCTTTGTCATTATATATCATTTGCTGGGAGAGGTGGGAAATGAGTGGTCAGTGACAATGAGTGGTCCTGGATAAAGGAATTGGCTGGAAGTTAGAGGCTGACATTGCAAGAGATATGAACCTGAACGAGCCACTCTCTCTTTAAAATCATTTGTGTCCTATATTTTCTGAATTGTTGACTTTTACTCACAGTTTTGGTATCAGGAAAGTTGGAAGTAGAAAAGACAACAAATATCACCCAAAGCAAGTCTAGGTTTTAGCTCAACAGTCACAAGACACAATTCCTTGATTAGTTCAGGCTCTAGTTTTAGGTCATAAGTAAGCTTCTCCTTCCATCACATGGCAGGAACAGCAAAACCTTTAACTGTGGCCTTTATTTCAGGGCTCCTCTGGTTACAACTTGACACAGTTTTTCCACAGCAACGCCACAGTCTCTCACTACAATCACCAGGGTCTTGCTCTCACCAGGTTCTCATTTTCACCAAGATCTTCCTCTAGTCTCCATAAAGTATTTCTACTCAGTGTGGGAAGTATTATCTCTCTTATTCTAGTCCCACAGCTCTTGGTTATTTGCAAGACTATGTGTCACAGTTATGGTAGCTGGAGACCAGAAGGGGCTAATGTAATGGCTAGAAAAGATAACTTTTAAGCCAACATCACACAGAGTGTATAGTAATTAGGGAGGCAGGCCTTTGTGCTGAGGCTAGTTGTTTAGTTCACTGCAGAAAGTGTTCCACAGAGTTGACAGGAGTGGAGGGCCAGTGAAAAAATTATTTCCCCACCTTATACAACTAACTCATAATCAACTTGATTCTTTATTGGCAACAGTTTTCTGATGTTTCCTGTGCTCCTGGTGCTCAAAATAGAGCGTCAGTTTCTTCTTCTTTTTTTAAATCTTATTATTTTTATTTTGTGTTTACCATCAAATTGGATCTGACTGGTACAGGAGGAGATTGTCCCTCATCCTCCAGCAGACCATCTGGTGGATTTGAATCACACACCTCTGGGATTGCAGTACAACTTCTTACCACTAAGCCACCAGGGCTTGCCATGAGCATCACTTTCCTGTTGCATCGTTTTGCTATACTTTTGAAGAAAGATCAAAACAGTGGTGAGTTTATAAAGATATTTTTCTGGAATCTCATAATTTTCCGACACTAATAAATTCCCTTGGGTATTTCATAAGAAGCATATTCTTAAGTCTCACGCAGACCTGTTTAACCAGAATCTTGAGCATTAGGCTCTGGGGAGTTTTTTCTCATTTTGTTTTGTTGGTAAGTGCCTGTATAATTCCTATGATTGTGTAAGTTTGAGGAGAAACCTGATTATACAATTTAATATCCTAAAATACCAAAGTAATATACATGTACCTCTTTAAAATTATATATTTTTTAGAAATTGTCTATTCAAACCAAAATAAATCTATTGTATTTGAAGCTATCTCAAAAGCTAAATATATATAATTTCTATCAAGTTGAAACCAACTCATAGCTGACCATACAGGTGGTATCCAGAAGCTGTAAATAACAAGGGACATTGCCCATATTGCTTTCTCAGAGCCACTGATTTATTTGAACAGTCAAAGACATACTGCTTTAGATAAGCAACAAAATTACTTATGACCTATCCCTCAGAATTTATTTCCTAAAAGCAAATGTTATATATTCCAGGTCATGTAAGGAACGTTGTACTCCAATAACAGAATTAAAACAGCTATGTTTCCATCTGCACAGGCTAAGTCCTCTATAAATTCCAGGATCTTTTTTCCCCCTCTTTCTAGAACATGGGATGACATATATTTACAAGGGAAAAAATACAACTTTCCTATGGAAATCATAACTTTCATATAATAACACATAACAGTGAGAATGGATTAGAGAGAGAGACAGCGTGTGTGTGTGTGTGTGTGTGTGTGTGTGTGTGTGTGTGTGTATTTAGATTAATGGCTTGGAGTGGAGGAACAGCCTAAAAATTCACCTGCTACTGTCCTCATAAAGAGTCAAGAAAGGTTATGAAGGGTTTACACTAGAAAAATGAGTTGCTGTTCTTGTAGTTGTTATTGTTATGTGCCATTGAGTCATATACGACTCATAGCAACCCTATGTACAACAGCCCTATATTCTGCTCTATCCTGTGCCTATCTTATTGTTTCTGACACTCCTACCCATTACCCCAGTCACTGAATCAATCCACCTCATCTAGGGTCTTCCTTTCCTGCACTGTCCTTCCACCCTCCCAAGTATGATGTCCATCTTCAAGGACTGGTCCCTCCCCGCAACATGCCCAAAATATGTCAGATGAAACTTCAGAATCCTTGCTTCCAAGGAGTGACCTGGCTTTACCCTCTCCAGGAAAAACCTATTCATTTTCTTAGCTGTCCATGGTACACTCAATATGCTTCTCCAACACCACAGTTCAAAGGCATCAATTCTCCTTGTATCATCCCTAGGTATTGCCCAGCTCTCTGATGCATAGCAAGTG